CTGTCTTCTCTCTTTTTACATTTTAGTCATAGTAGTTAAAGTCATTATTTACTTACTCTAGTATCTGGGTTGTGAGTAAGTCTGTTTCAATTGTTATTTTTCCTCATAATCATTTCTATGACTCTGTCTCTTGGCGTGCCTCGTTTGAATCCTGGGCATTTTTTTTTTAACTTGCAGACCTCCAGATAATATCCAGATGATATTATTTTCTTCCAAAAAGAGTTCAACTGTCTCTTCTGTGCAGGTAGCATATGGGCTGCTTACTTTAATCCAGTCAGATACTGAGCTGAAATGAGGTTGGGGTGCAGTTTGATAAGACTTTCTCTATCTTAAGTTCATTCTTCTTTCTTAATTGTAGCCCTCAAAATCTTTCACCCAAGAACCTGGAGTGTTCATTGGGCCTCTACCCCAGCAGATGTTGATTGACTTTTAGTCCTTGTTACAAAACTTTGCTCTTCATTTCATAGGCTTTTTCCTTAGAGTGTTGTTTTCCTGTTGCTGCTGTAACAAATTAGTACAAACCCAGTGCTTAAAACAGCACAGATATATTATTTTACAGTTCTGGAGATCAGAAATCCAAAATGGGTTCCATTAAGCCAAAGTCAAGGTGTCAGCAGGGCTCCATTCCTCTGGATGCCCCAGGGGAAATCCATTCCTTGCCTGTTCCAGCTAGAGGCTGCCTGCATTGCTTAGCTCCTAAGCCCCCATTAGCCAGCAGCACAGCATCTTCAAGTCTCTCTCTGAGTGGTGCTTGGTGACTCAGCCTATAATCCCGTGCTTTGGGAGGCTGAGGTGAGTGGATTGCCTAAACCCGCGGGTTCGAGACCTGCCTGGGCAATTTGGCGAGACCTCATCTCTACAATAAAAATTAAAAAATCAGCCGGGCGTGGTAGTGTGTGCCTGTAATTCCGGCTATTCGGAAGGCTGAGGCAGAAGGATCGCCGGAGGCCAGCGGGTCGAGGCCACGGTGGCCGGGAGCGGCCACTGCACTCCAGTCTGGGTGACAGAGTGAGACTCCAACTCAAAAGAAAAAAAAAAATCTCCGACACTCCTGTCTTGCTCTTTCTTTTGTAAGGACCCTTGTGATTACAATGGGCCCCTCTGTTAATCCAGGATAATCTCGCCATCTCTAGATCCTCAATTTAAATATCTGCAAAACCCTCTTTTTTGCTATGTAGGGTAACATATTCATAGGCTATGGGGACTAGGACATAGACATATTTGAGGGAGCCATTGTATTGCCTAGCATATTTAGCTTTTTAGGTTTCCGTTTACACAATTTCAGAATTTAGCATGTCTTGAAAAGAAAACCTACCATGTGACAGGCTCAGTTCTACTCCCCTCACCTTGTTTTGTTTTTTTTTTTTTTTTTTTGCAGGGATCTTGTTCCCCCCAGACTCCAATTTTATCTCCCAAGCCCTGTTAAGACTGCCAACAGTCCTTCTGGGTTTTTTTTCCCTTCGGTAATTCGTCCTCCACGTGGGCAAAGCCCAGATTTTCAGCCCAGAATTGGCATATGCCCTAAGGAAAAATCTGCTGCAGAATATCAGTTTACCTCCTGGAGTTCACCTTTCTGGAATTTTGGCTCTCTAGGCTTGTTTGTTTCAGTAGCTCTCTGATTTATTTTGTCTAGCTTTTCTTATTGATCTCGGTGGGAACATTAGCTTGCTACAAACTGCTCCATCATGCCTCTTCTAAGTCCTTTTGACACAACTTTATATGAGTGTCTGTGTATATAAATACATATCTATATGTCTATATATTATATATATTAATATAGCATTCTTCCTGTTATGGTCCAGGTTTTTGATATGACCCAGATGTTCCAGGCTTATCTTGTAATCTCCAGTCTTCAACCTGGAAGTGGCCATTTTTCCAAGGAACACTGGCTTCTTTTATTGGGAAGTGGTATAAAGAGACTACAATTTGGAGTCAAGGATTGTGTTTTATGCATCCTGGTATCATTTGCACCTAGCACTTTGCCTTATATGTAATAGATACTCAAGAAATGTTTGTTAAAAATTTATATTCATACCTTCACTTGGTTCTACTCAGTTTAAGTACCACTTCCTTCATAAAATCTTTGGCCTTTTTTTTTTTCCTGTAAATTCTCTATGCTTCTGTAGCTCCTCTATGGATTTAATTCAAATATTGAATAAGTTGGACTAGAGTTTACAATCTCTTTTAATCCTAATAACGTAAAAATCAGCACCAATTATACAGTATTTTTTCCCTTTGAAATGTGTTAATTTTTTCACCTAATTCAATTGGGAATTGCTTGAGGATAGGTCCACATTTTAATCTGTCTAGATATATGGTAATTGCTAAATAAAATATGTTGATTGACAACAATTAAGTAGGTTAATTTTATTTCATATTGCCTGGGCTGCAGTTTGGAAATAGATGGAACTTTTTTGATTTAAAAATATGTAAATGGGAGGGGGACTAAGGTTCAGAAACTACCTATGGGGCACAAAGTTCACTGTCGGGGGGTATGGGCCACCTGAGACCCCACCACTACCCAATATGCCATGTAACAAATATGTATGTGTACCTCCTGAATTTAAAGTAAAAAAATTTTTAAAATGTGAAATATTAGGAAGAAGGGAGCTCTTCTATGTAAAACATTAAAAAACCTTTCAAAAATGAACCAGTATAATAAGGTATACTTTGTAGGCGTGGGTTCTAAACTGCCTGGGTTCACAGCCAATCTTTGTCACTTACAACCCTGGACATTTTACTTAATTTATCTGACCCTCCGTTTCCACATTTATTAAATGGGTATAAAAATAATACCTACCTCATAGGATTAAGCGTACTTAGACTAGTGGCTAGCACAAAGTAAGCACTCAAATGATGTTGATGATGAGAAATCATATATATATATTTAATAAGAATATAAAACATTTGTAATTTTTCACTTAACATTATGTTGTGAACAACTTCTCATGTTCTTGAAGTTTTTTGCAAAATATATTTTGCTTTTTTTTTTTTACTATACTCCAAGTGACAAAGAAGTAACTTAATTTTATTTCTTAATTTTTATTTCAGTAGCTTTAGGGGCACACATGGTTTTTTGGCTTTTTTTTTCAGGTTAGAAAAAGTTTATTTAGAAGGTAAATTAGAGAAATAGGGTGGATCCACCTCCTCAAGAATGAAGAGGGAGCCAGATACTGAAGAAGCATTTCGACTTTTTTTTTTTTTTTGAGTTGGAGTCTCACTCTGTCGCTCAGACTGGAGTGCAGTGGCTGCTCCCGGCCGCCGGAGCCCAGCAGCGATCCTTCCGCCTCAGCCTTCCAAGTAGCCGGAATTACAGGCATGTGCTACCACGCCTGGCTGATTTTTTGATTTATTGTAGAGATGAGGTCTCGCTGCCCAGATGGGTCTCGAACCTGCGGGCTCAGGCAATCCACTCACCTCAGCCTCCCAAAGGCGGGGGATTACAGGCTGAGCCACCGAGCCTGGCTCTTTTTTTTTTTTTTTTTAAAAGAGATGAGGTCTTGCTATGTCACCAAGGCTGGAGTGCAGTAGCTGTGCACAGGCATGATCATGGGTCACTATAGCCTGGAACTCCTGGGCTCAGCAATCCTCCTGCCTCAGCTACCCAAGTAGCTGGAACTACAGCCACGCCACAGTGCCTGGCTTTCAAAACATTTCTTTAATGGCAATGTAGAATTTTATTGCCAGGAAATATTCTAATTTCATTAACCAATCCAGTCCTAATGGGTTTGTTTTCTTTTATCTATCTATCTATCTATCTATCTATCTATCTATCTATCTATCAATTTATATACTTTGAGTAGGAGTCTCACTCTGTTGCCTAGGCTTGAGTGCAGTGGCACCCTCACGGCCACTGCAGCCCCGACCTGCTGCAATCCTTTCATCTCAGTCTTCCCAGTAGCTAGAACTACAGGCACATGCCACCATGCCCAACTAATTTTCTGATTTATTGTAGAGGTCTCGCCAAGTTGCCCAGGCTGGTCTCAAATCCCTGGGCTCAAGCAATCCCGTCGCTTCCTCCTCCCAAAGTGCTAAGATTGCAGGCATGACTCCCCATGCCTGACTGTTTCCATTTTTAATTGGCTTTTATTGTGACTAATTTTTTTTTCTTTTTTTTTGAGTTGGAGTCTCACTCTGTCGCCCAGACTGGAGTGCAGTGGTTGCTCCCAGCCACCGCAGCCTCGACCTACTGGGCTCCGGCGATCCTTCTGCCTCAGTCTTCCAAGTAGCCGGAATTACAGGCATGCGCTACCACGACCGGCTGATTTTTTGATTTACTGTAGAGATGAGGTCTCGCCAAATTGCCCAGGTGGGTCTTGAACCCGCGGGCTCAGGCAATCCACTCGCCTCAGCCTCCCAAAGGCGCGGGATTACAGGCTGAGCCACTGAGCCCGGCTTAATTTTTTTTTTTTTCCTTAACTAAGAACCAGAGAGAGAAGAATGGTCAGTTTGAGAACTTAGACATAGCATGGCATCCTGTAGAGATAATACTGGATTTAGAATTAGAAGACTGAATTGTAGCTCAGAGTTTGTTCCTTTCTCTTCTGGGACTCTATAGAATGATCGAGTTGGACTACGTAATTTTTTGGGCCCTTTCCATATCTTCCTTATCCTATTAATGTGCAGGAATTGAGCTCATTAAAAGTCACACACAACTATCTTGGCTGAAGTAATCTATTCTGAGCTTTCCACCCAGGATCCCAAAGCCTTCAAGGTATTGATCCCTTTTGCTGTCAGGCAGCCAGTCAAGGTGTGAGGCTGTGAGAGCCCCTGGGCTGGTCACCTCTAACTGTATCAGGTTCATCTGTGATTCCAGTCCCTCCAGTTAATCCAGTATACTCTGCTGTACAAACATGGTTTCTTCTGTCTGCCAACTTGTGAAAACGTTTGGGAGCACAGATCTATAAGAGTGTTTCTAGGAAAACTTTTGCTCATGGCAGATATATGTAGTTCAGATCCTTGTGATATTGTTCATAATTCTTTATTCTTTGACTTTTTAGCATGGCTGCTCGATGTTTCTGGGATGCTGACACTGACAACTACACTCATGACGTTTTCATGAATGTAAGTCTATTTGGAAACATTTTTTCATTTCTAAGGACATGTGGGCATTCCAAACCAAATTACTTAATATTTACTTAGCTGTGAGTCCACTTTAGTCTTAGATATTAGTCTTAGACTTCCTCTGAATGAGATGATGTTACTGTTAATTTTTTTGTGTTACTAAAACATAAACCTAGTATGCTGCTTACAGGCAAGGGAACCTGTATGTTTACAGATGACATAACTCTACGTGGGGTTGAATTTGGGAATAGTGTACATTTATTTAGCATATTACTTAAAATTATTTTTAGCCATCTCCTTCATAAACCACTGTGTTCTGAAACCCAATCCTGATAATCCTCATTAAAGTAATAACTGATAACTAAAATATTAAACTATATATTTGTTCATTTGAATAAGTCACACTTTGCTAAGCTGCAAAGGATTTGGATGGTGGTGATTCCATTAGCAAAGGTGATTTTTCTTTAAGTAATAAAACATTGATTTTAAAGCCATTTCTCAAAACTAAGCAAAAATAAAGAGGAATCTTTAAAAGAAGGTTTTGCTGGGTGTGGTGGCTCATGCCTGTAATCCCTAGCACTTTGGGAGACCAAAATGGGAAGATCACTTGAGGCTAGGAGTTTGAGACCAGCCTTGGCAATATAGTGAGACCTTCTCTCTACAAAAAAAAAATAATAATTAGCCAGGCATGGTGACTAGCTACTTGGGAGGCTGAGGCAGGAGGATCACTTAAGCCCAGGAGTTGGAGGCTGCAGTGAACTGTGATTGTGTCACTGCACTCCAGCTGGGGTGACAGCAAGAGACCAAATCTTAAAAAAATAAAGTCTGTGCCGGGCTCGGTGGCTCAGCCTGTAATCCCGCGCCTTTGGGAGGCTGAGGTGAGTGGATTGCCTGAGCCCGTGGGTTTGAGACCCCCCTGGGCAACTTAGTGAGACCTCATCTCTACAATAAATCAAAAATTAGCCAGGTGTGGTAGCGCACGCCTGTAGTTCCAGCTACTTGGAACGCTGAGGCAGAAGGATCGCCAGAGCCCAACAGGTCGAGGCTGCGGTGGCCAGGAGCGGCCACTGCACTCCAGTCTGGGTGATGGAGTGAGACTCTAACTCAAAAAAAAAACCAAAAAACAGTCTGTAATCCCAGCAGTTTGGAAGACCAGAGCAGGAGGACTGCTTGAACCCAGGAGTTCAAGGCCAGTCTAGGCAACATAGAGTAGACCTCATCTCTACAGAAACAAAACAACCAAAAAAAAAAACAAACCCACAAAACAAACAAAATATATACATATATATAATAACACATATAATATAGCTGGGTATGGTGGCATGCCTATAGTCCCAGTTACTTGGGGGCTGAGGTGGAAGCATCACCTGAGCCTAGGAGGTTGAGGCTGTGATCTGTGATTGTGCCACTGGGCGACAGAGTGAAACCTTAACTCGAAGAAACAAACAAGCAAGCAAACAAACAAACATTTTTCTTGAAAGGGGACTCAAGAAAACAAATGAAAAAATAATCAATGAATAAATGAAAAATTTAAAAGGTTTCATTTTGACCAGGTGCAGTGGCTCATGCCTGTAATCCCAGAATTTTGGGAGGCCAAGGTGAGAGGATTACTTGAGCCCAAGAGTTTGAGACCAGCCTAGACAATGTAGCAAGACCTCGTCTATACAAAAAAATAAAAATTAGCCGGGCATGGTGGTATGCACTTGCAGTCCCAGTTACTTGGAAGACTGAGGTGGGAGGATCTCTTGAGCTCAGAAGGTTAAAACTGTAGTGAGCCATGATCATGCCACTGCACTCCAGCCTGGGCAACAAAGTGAGAGCCCCCCCCCACCCAGCCGATGGAAAAAAAAAAAAAAGGAGGCTTCACTTGAATATTAGTAATTTATTGGCACAAACGCTTTTTTTTTTTTTTTTTTAGTCAGAGTCTCACTCTGTTGCCCAGGCTGGAGTGCAGTGGTATGCTCACGGTCACCACAGCCTCTACCTGCTGGGCTTAGGCAATCCTTCCGCCTCAGCCTTCCAAATAGCTGAACTACTGGCACGTGCCACCACACCTGGCTAATTTTTGTTTTTAATCATAGAGACGAGGCCTTGCCATGTTGCCCAGGCGGTCTTGAAGTCCTGAACTCAAACAGTCCTCTCTCCTCAGCCTCCCAAAGTGTTGGGATTACAGGCTTGAGCCTCTCACTGCGTCTGGCCCGGCACAAATGTTTTATATACTTTATTTTTTTGAGTTGGAGTCTCACTCCGTTGCCCAGGCTGGAGTACAGTGGCACGCTCACAGCCACTGCAGCCTCAACCTGCTAGACTAAGGCGATCCTTCCCCCTCAAGTAGCTAGAACTACAGGTGTGCACCACCATGCCTAGCTAATTCTTTTGATTTATTGTAAGATGAGTTCTCGCCAAGTTGCCAGGCTGGTCTTGAACCCCTGGGCTCAGGCAATTCTCTCACCTCTGCCTCCCAAAGTGCTGGGATACAGGCATGGGCCACTGAACCTGGCTTAAATGTTTTATATATTTTAATTGCATGTTATTATTTTATACTTACTCCAAAAATGATCTAATCCCTTATTCATATACTCCTGGGTTGTGAATTAGTTGAGTCAAAGTGGAATAGAACAGAAACCAGTTAAGAGTGAATTAGGACAGAGGGGTTCAATTCTCAGCTCTGTCACTTTCTAATTGAGAAACTTTAGGTAAGTCATTGGATTTTTCTCACATTGTGCCAGTAGCATCAGGAAGCTGTAGTAGATTTTCCCAAAGACTGGCTATGGCTGCCTAATAATAATTTGGGGAAACTTGTTTGAAATATAATTGCTGGGGCCCTCCTTAAGTAGATTTTGATCAAATAAGCCAGGGTTTGGATAAGCGAGACTGAACTTTTTTAAGGTTCCCCACATGATTCTACTGAATTTCAGGTTTGTAAGATGTTTATGTAGATTATTTTTATTTTTTGAGTTGGGGTCTCACTCTGTCACCCAGACTAGAGTGCAGTGGCATGATCACAACTCTTCACTGTAGCCTCCACCTTCTGGGCTCAGGTGATCCTTCCACCTGAGCCTCCTGAGTAGCTGGGACTACAGGTGCTCGCTACATTTTGGCTAATTTTTATTTTTATTTTTGTAGAGATGAGGTCTCACTATGTTACCAAGGTGGTCTCAAACTCCTGGGTTCAAGTAATCCTCCTGCCTTGACTTCCCAAAGTGCTGGGATTATAGGTGTGAGCCACCATGCCCAGCCTTGCTTATGTAGATGATTTTAAGTTACCTTTTAGCTACAAGATTCTATGGTTCTACTAAAGTTTCATTTTATGCTTAACCACCCTAGGGACAGTGGAAAGTACTGTGTACATCTCCATTTATCAGCTCTCTTTGGGGTAAGAGCCCAGCTGAGGTGATGGTTTCTCTGCTTCTTGCGGGGGAAAAAAAAATGCATCTTTCACTGAGTCTCTTACATCAGCAGCCCCCATCCTTTTTGTAATTAGGAACTGGTTTCGTGGAAGAGTTTTTTCACATACCGAGGAGGCATTACATTTATTGTGCACGGTATTTCTATTATTATTACGTTGTAATATATGATGAAATATATAGTATCACAGCCTCAGCTAATCAGACATTAGATTGTCATAAGGAGTGCACACCTAGATCCCTCTCATGCGCAGTTCACAATAGGGTTCAAGCTTCTGTGAGAATCTAATGCCATTGCGGATCTGACAGGAGGAGCAGCTCAGGCAGTAATGGGAGTGTTGGGGAATGGCTGTAAATACAGATGAAGCTTTGCTCATTGGCCCAGTTCCCACAGGCTACGGACTGATAGCGTCTGTGGCCTGGAGATTGGGGACTTCTGCCTTACATGGTTTAATTTAGTCATTCAACAAATAATTCTGATCTCCTAATATGTGCCAGCTTCTGTACTTGAGGGGTAGGGATAAAGGAATAAACAAGACATGGTTTCTGACTGTAGAGAGCTTATAATCCAGTATGGGGTCAGTCAATAATCAAATGAACAAATGTATAATTAAAAACTTTAGTTATCAATTACTACTTTAATAAGGATTATTAGGATTAAGTTTTAGAATATAGGATTGGCGGAGAGGGTGGCTAAAAATCATTTTTGAGAGCCTGGTTTAGATCGCTGACTTGGTCTACTGTATCTTTAGTCCAGTTTACTGAATTGGGTATTTATTTAGGTTTCATTTTGTTGATTTGGGAGATGCCAGGAAACACGAGTAGAGACTAAATAAACAAGAGAGGAGGGAAAAGCATGTACTATTATGCAGACAATTGCTGTGGTTGACCGGGTCTCAGTCCTGTTGGTAGAACTCTGGGTGGTGCTGTAGAACAGTGCCACTCAAGTGGAGTCCACAGGAGAGTGCCATCTGTGACCTGCATGTTACAGGCCCATGATGAGATAAGTATGCATATTGAGTGTAAGGCTTTAGAAACTTATAGCAATTTGACAAAGTAATTTTATGTCCATTGAATCTAATAATAAAAGTTTGTGCTGTGTTTTGTATGCTCCTTGTCTCATTTCATTTTCAGAGCTATTTTTATTGTATTTTACAAAAATTATCATTTCACGAAGGACTGGTAGATAAAAGAAAAAAAAAATAGGTCCTTCACAACAGATAGCACTATTGTAGAACACAGCTTCAAGTTATCCACTCTAGGAGCCAGGGAGCCAGGCTACACCAAGTAATTTTGCTTTTGGTTAATAAACAGGAAATTGAAATCAGATTGTTTCTCTCCCATCATTACCAGACTGGAGGTGAGATTGGTGATTCAGGAGTTGCTGAAGCAGGTGGAATTCCTGTAATAAGTACCTAAAAAATGTTTTAACAATTTTAATTGGGCTCTGAAAAGCATTTTGAGATCCTGAGCTAAAGGATAGACAAATTTTATCAGTTAAGAACAAACACCCAGACACCATTTCCCTTATCTAGAATTTATGACAAGGTGTTGTTCTTATTATTAGTGATAACAGAATTAGTTTCTTGGGTTGGGTAATGCATTTGCTCCATGAAATGCATTCTTTTATTTCTGTGGTAAATCAGAGATTAGGGGAATAATTATGAAATGTATTACCTAAATTTACTAGTTCACATTTTATTTCTACATTCAGAAAGTATTAATTATTTATCCATCCTAACCTTTTAGCAACCAATCTTGTAGTCACTCCCAGGCAAGCAACTTTTTAGCTATACTCTGGAAACCGTTCCTATCTTGAAGGAAAAAGTCTACATGATTGAAAATTGGCGAAGATCTGAGGTGGTGTTAATTTCAATTGTCTGTGCTGCCCTTATTCCCTCATTAGTACTAACATGCTGGATTTGTGTATGTTTTGTTTTCTAGGACAGTTTATTCTGTGTTGTAGCAGCATTCGGCTGTTTCTACTATTGAGTCTTTGGGAAAAGATACGACTATGAAGAAATCTCAACTTTTTTATATTGTTAAATATCTTGACAAAATAAAGATAAATTGATAGTTTGGCAACTGAACCTTGTGATTTAGGGCTTATATTGTTAACATTGTGATTTTGTTATATTTCTTATTACACTGGAGAGTAGAGAAAAAGTGGGGAAAATCCATTTCAACTGTTCAAACATAACCAACTGTAAATATTTTAGTATATTTTCTACCAGTGTATTTTTATTTGCAAGATTCAAAACCTCATATATACAATTATATACCCAGATATTTCACTTCTCATAACATTATGAACCATTTTTAATGCTATTTACATTATGATTTTCAGAAACATAATTTAATAATTGCATTTATTCCATTAGGTTATACCATTTCTTTATTGGGAGACTGCTTATTTCTGATTTTTCACTATTATACAAAATACAGAGATGAATTTATTTGTGCATAAAGATTTTTCCGACTTTTTTTTTTTGAGTCAGCGTCTCACTCTGTAGCCCAGAATGGAGTGCGGTCCCACGATCATGGCTACCACAGCCTAGACCTGCTGGGCTCAGGCAATATCCTTCTGCCTCAGCCTTCCAAGTAGCTGGTGTTACAGGCGCACACCACCACGCCTGGCTAATTTTGTGATTTATTGTAGAGATGAGGTCTGGCCAAGTTGCCCAGGCTGGTCTCGAACCCCTAGGCTCAGGCAGTGCTCCAGCCTCTGCCTCTCAAAGTGCTGGCATTACAGGCATGAGCCACCGTGCCCAGTCTCCACGTTTTGAATTATTGCCTTTATCTCTTTCACCCAGTGTTTTTGTTCAGCTTTGCCATCCCATGCCTAACATAGCTTATTAGCTTAAACACATCTGTTTTCTTCAGGGCTTGTCCCCAGTGTCAGAGTCTGAGAGGTTCCAAGCTGTGTATGAAATTAGCCCTCCCTTTAAGACTCTGATATTTTTAAGTTGGTTACTGCCCAAACTCCTACTATCCTTGTAATGATGTTTCCCTTAGAGGTCCTGGCGTTTTCTCCAGCTACTTGTCCTGATTTGGGGCACCTTAGTCTATCAGCCTAATTGAAATGTTCAAATGCCTATCTGAAACTCAGATTTAAACCCCTTTTTTCCCTGGAGGCCCTTGAGCAAATACACAGCTCACCCACCTTCTTTCTCGCCTCCTCTTAGCAACTTCCAAGTCCAGCATGTACACAAAAAAGTGTAAGTAAATACAGTAAAGATTCCTTTACATTGTTCCTGCATAACACTATGTATCCACTCGCCTTACATTTACAGAATCAAAAGGGACCCTTCCAAAGGTCCACTCTAGCAAAGGAAGACGTTGCTCCTCACCACGCACCCTGCTGCGTGTCCTCTCACCAGTAGCCTCCCTGGAGTCCACTCCTGCGAGGCCCGCACTCAGCTGACACCCAAGGGCTCATGTTTTGGCAAGCCAGGCTGGGTCAGAAACAACAGGAAGAAAGAGGGCTGAGTCAGCCACAGGTTTTCGGCGCACGCGAATTCCCTCTCCAATACCAAGTGGGCGAAAGCGGGCGCCGTGGTGAGGCAGGCGCGCGTCCTGGCGGAAGGCGTGCAGGCCGTGCGCACCAGCGCCGGGACGAGGGTCTGGGAAGGGCCACGCGGACGGGGCCGCTGGCGTGGACACAGCTCGGAGCCAGGCCAGAGGGGAGCCGCCGGGCACCGCTTCCTGATGAACTGCCAGCGAGCGCTGGGGACAGTTCACATCCGTATCCTACAACGAAGAGGCGTCTTCGCTGCACACTCCCGTTCCGGGTGGAGACGGACTCGGCCTTTCCATCTCCTGTCTCTGAGGTTTCCACTCTGTCATTTTACCCAGCCCCTGGCCTCTGTGGAGGCGGAACTACTATGTCAGGGGTCGTGGTTGTCGGAGATAAGTCGTGGACGGATTGACAGTAGGCGGGACTTCCGGCCCCTGTTCCGTCAGCTGCCTTCCCGGGCGTCTCCCCGCAACCTCCACAACTTCCCTTGTCAGTGACTCGGCGCCCGGCAAAGACCCGACGGGACAAGGGTCGGAGAAGCTGCAGGTGAGGACCCGGTGTGTGCATGTCCTTTGGGCTCTGTTTCAGAGGGGAAACTGTGGGGTTGGGACTGCGAGAGACTGTGACTGAAGGGAGAGTGAGTGACTGCGAGGGGAGAGTGAGGCAGGGCTGCCAGGCTACTGTGACCGAGGGACAGTGACACCGAGGGGACTGTGACCGAGGTGTAGCTGCTTGCGAGGGGTTTGCGACCCAGGAGCAGTGAATGCAAAAGACTCTGACCTCGGAGAGCACGAGACAGGCTGCGACGGGACTCCGACCGAGGAAGTATGAGGCAGTGACTGCAAGGGACTGTGACCCAGGGGCGACGATGACTCCGAGAAGACTCTAATCGATGGATCGTGACTGTGAGGGAACTCTGACCTAAAGGAACATGAAGCAGTGGTTGCGGGGAACTCTGACCAACGAGCAATGACTTTGAGGGGCTGACTTGGAGAAGAGTGTGGGGCCAGTAATCGGTAATGAATGGTACTATGGGGTTGTGTTTGGGCACAGGGTGGGGCTGGCTGTGACTGGACAGAGGTCTTTAGTCGAAAGAACATCGGTCCGGGCTTATCAGACAGACGTGAGTTAAATTTTGTGGGCAAACTTGTGACTGGGAAACTTACCTCGCCACTGAGTGACAGTTTTTTTCATCAGTGAATGGGACATTCAACTTGGACTAGTTGAATGTCTCCCAAACTATGGGTTCCATCCTATTATTGGGTTGTGAAATCAGCTTAGTGGATGGCACCTGTAGCTTTTTTTTTTTTAAGGGAATAGAAAATTTCAGCATGTTCTCATAGAGTAAGTATTGTTTCATGAAATTTGTTTCAGTTATGTGTATATGAGATTATGATGTTAATGATCTCGGACGTCTTAAAATGTATGAAATAAAATGTAGTAAAAAGTTTGGAAAACATTGAACCAGATTATTTCTGAATTTTCTATCATGTCTAAAATATAATGATTCTATGATTAGGGGATTGTTTGTAAGTACAAAGATGGATTTGGGAAGACAGGATGGATGGCTGGGGTATAGGCTCTATCAGACTGACTTAACTGGAAAAGGCTTCTTGAATGTGATTGAGGTGACTAGTTATGAGGCTGGAAACTTAGGATTTCGGTTGGGAGAAACAGAAGTTACAGGGGACATATAGAATAGGGACAGTGATATAAAGGCAGTGAAAATTTAGGAATTCGTGATAGAAACGACTAGGAACAGACATTGAGGAAGGGGAAATTTCAAGGGTGGGGAGACTTGGGAAGGGAACTGTTGAGACAGAAAACATTCTACCAAGAATAAGACAGAAGTAGCTAGATAATGACCTTCAGATCCTATTAAATCTTGATATTTAGTGATTCTGCAAGCACAGAAGATTGTTAGTAAAAAGATATTGAGAATGGAATTTGGTGCAGTAATAGTGGTAAACAGATGATGACCAGCATGGGAAGAAAGGTGGAAAGATGGACGAAAGGATGACACTGGGAATGCTAACAATAGTGATTAGAGTGCCACATAGGAAAAGCTTTAATGTATTTAACTATCCAACTCAGTGATTTGCTTACTGAATGCCAAAACTGGCATCCTGGGAAGAATGGTACCATGCTGTGGGTAATTCAAATGAAATTTTAGCTGCTAGTTTTATTTCTTACTCATTCTCTTTTATGAGAGCTGCTAGTGAGACAGATGAAATTAAAGTGAGAGCTACTACTTCCTCCTCTCTTGCAGCCCTTTGTAGAAGGTGCTGGTGATTGTGCCATCCAGAACTAAGATCTAATAGGAGGAGCTTGAGGTCATTTTAACTTAGCAGACACTGTATTAACCTGATAACCTAATAGGTACCCCTGCACCATACACATACATACACTTTGTAATAGGGGACGAGAGTTCAGAAAGGTTCTTGAATGGGAATGAGTTAGGAATAGTGAGGATTAGCCTTTGTTTTGCTAAAAAAAAATGGCTATGTATACTTTCTTCTAAAACATTAGATTTTACTTGACTGACAGTCTATATAACGAAAAGGAACTATTTAAGAATTTCTTTCTAAAGCAGAATATATGCTTTAAGATAACAGACCATAGAAGAGTCTTGGTCTCTGCAGTACTCCCGCTGGAGTCTTTTGTGTTTGCTGAACGAATTGATTCTTTCGGACCTAGCTTGCTTTGCAGATTCTCTTTGAAAACTAGTATGATGGCCTGATTGATAAAAGAATGAGCTTTATTTCCCGGTCAGCCTATGATTTCTCCTCCAATAAACAGGTGGGGTTTTATTTTTCTTGGGGACCTCCTCTTTGGACATGTGATCCCTTAAGGAGAATGATGTAGTCAGATAGAGCCTTGGATTCAGAAGTCCCAGGTTACTTTATCTGTTATTAACACTGACTCACTCTGTGACTATGGGAAGTATTATTGCTTGCTTTTTGTTTTAGATTTTCTAAACATGGCAGAGGTGACTGTTCTTATGATTAACCAGCCTTTTAAATATTCTGAAATATATGCATACCTACCAAATTTTATATATATGCTCATGGAGTTTGTAAACAACCTGATCCCATTCACAATTCCCGTACAGAACTTCTAGCTTCTAGATTAGATGGTATTTTTCTAGGGATCTGAATAAACTCTCCTAGACATATTGTAACCACTGATGAGAATTAAATTATGAAATACTCAGAAAAGCAAGTATAATAATTTTTTGTTGTTAGTAATGATTAATAATAATTTCTGTTAATAATAGTAGTTTTCTTACTTAGGCATCATGCTTTTCTAAATATTTGCATAGCTCTGATCTGAAACCAGGCCCTCTGACTTTTCTATTAAAAAAAAAGATTCTTCCTCCTCAAACAGAAATAGGTCCCTCTTACCTCAAAGTGTGTGTTCCCTTGAAATAGATGGGAAAGAATACATTTTTCCAAAATTCATTGTCCTTTTTGGATTTTTTTCATACATTTTTCCAAAATTCATTGTCCTTTTTGGATTTTTTTCAGTTAGAGAAACCCTAAAGTCAGAGTACTTTCCAATTATCACTGGGCCTTAGGAGTTACTTTTTTTGCTCAGAATTGTGACTGGCTGCTTCTGTATCTCTTACTTTATCACTACATCAATCATACTGAAAAACAGAATGCCTTAAGAAGGAGAGAGTGAGGGATCAGCACTCCAGACATTCAACCCTCCTGCATATCTGTTTAGTAACTTCTGGCACCTCCTCTTCCCTAAGTCCTTTGACCTCTTTCTTGTGCTTAAACCTTTCTGGTTTTAGTTCTAAACTTCTCTTTTCACAGAATTCCTGTCAAATGAGTACCTGAACAAGGGTTTCAAATGTAATTTGTTCTGTTAATTGCTTTATGGGTGATTTGTGGTAAAATTTACATCCTAGTTCCCTTCTTCAACAATTCAGTCATGAAATTCAGGGAATGTACATTTTTCCACACTCTATTTTGCAGTGTATGCTAGAGCGCCACCGTAGAAGGAAGAAAGAAACTGTGTTAGGTTCCTTTACATACCCTTATCTCATTAACATTAATAATTGCATTGCCTGTATTTTACTATTTGCAAAACAGATAGATAGATATATAACAGGCTGTGTGTGTGTGTCTTTCCCCCCTTTCTTTTGGTAACTTTCTTATAATCACAAGTTGAAAGTTATGTTAGTTTGAGGCTTTCTATGTTTATAGTAGGATGACTGCCAATGAGCCAGGGGAACCCATGGATCTGCTAGGCTGTTATATTGCATTCATACTATTTGCAAAACAGTTTTCAAGCGAGGGCAGCTAAAAATAGTGACATTGGTTTTTTCTCTATATAAAATGAACATATGACCCTTAATAAAAAACAGGCACTCAAACTGAGTGGCGGAGTGAGATCCCATCACAAAAAAAAAGGTAGTCTTCTCACCTCAGCCTCCCAAAGTGCTGGGATTATAAGGTGTGAGCCACTTATGTGTGATCATGTTTGTTTACTTTTTGCCTCTAGAACAGGGGTCTTAATCTTATTTGTCTTATGTACCCCTTTGGCAATATGGTGAAACCTTGTAGGGTTCCTTTGTGGAATAATGGTTTTATATTGCAAAAAATACATAGAACTATAAAGGACCCCAATTATATTGAAATATAGTTATCAAAATATGTTTGTGTGTGTGATATAGCACTATATATGCTTTTTTAACATAGTAAATAATGTTTACTATCTATCAGTGGGTTATAACTATAATTTCTAAATGATCATGAATTTAAATAATATTTTAAGATATTTGTAATATGATATGAAAATATTCATGATTTCTATTGGTAGCAAATCTATTTGTCTACTAAGTCTACTGTTACTGTGGCGTGTGTTCATAATTGAAAGAAATGATGAGTTTGTCAGAGGTGAGTGAAAATAAAGATATAATCTTTTTTTATCCAATTTCACAGTCTCTGAATTCTATCATAGACCCTGTCTTAGAGTTGTAAGTTTCATAACCCACTCAATGAAGATCACATTCTAAGCATAAGAATTTACTTACTAAATCTTCTGGTAGAATAGTGGCAGAGTAAAATCATTCAACTGTAAGAACTATTACAAGTATCCCGTATGGTTTTTTAGGAAAACTTCTTTTTTAATTTAATTTTTTTTTTTTGAGTTGGAGTCTCACTCTGTTACCCAGGCTGGAGGGCAGTGGCACACTCCCAGCCACTGCAGCCTTGTCCTGCTGGTCTCAGGCGATCCTTTCACCTTGACCTTCCAAGTAGCTGGAACTACGGGCACGTGCCACCATGCCCGGCTAATTTTTTTAATTTATAGTAGAGATGAGGTCTGGACAAGTTACCCAGGCTGGCCTCGAACCCACGGGCTCAGGCAATCCTCTCACCTCGGCCTCCCAAAGTGCTGGGATTATAAGGTGTGAGCCACTGTGCCCAGCCTAGGAAAACTTCTTTCCTGAAATACCCTATTGGCCACCCAATATTTGGGTGGCCAATAGGGTATATTAAAGTATATAAAGTAATAAAGTATATGCTTTATTTTGC